TGTTGTGCCTGCTGGGTACCTGCCGGTCATAGGGCATCCCGGGGAGGCACAGCCCATGCGCTCCCATTTGCCATACCTGCAGACCTGATGGCCTTGTGGCTTGGTGTCCAGCATGGGCTGAGCTCACTTTGAACCCAAGAAGTGGTCAGGTACAATATAACTTCTGTGATATGCAGGCAGTGTTATGGAATGGGGGGGATCTTGCCATATGCAATACAGGCAAAGCCCCAGGGTCAGTGGGATGTAAACAGGAATTACCAGCTGCAGGCTTCAACAGCCCTGGCCCCAGCTTTTCCCCACACAGCAAACAGGATGCTGAGAGATCCTGCTTCTGCTGAGGATCCTGCTCCTGCAGCTGTGAAGGGAAGAGAGTCACAGTAACCTCCTTGAAAAGATGCATCCCCGCCCCCTGCAAGTCTCAGTACCGTGATCTCAGCTGGCAGTGTAGGGGCAGAGCTATCTTTGTGCTGGGAAGCTCTTCTCTTTAGAGTCACATTTTGAAAGCTCAGCTGGATGTGGAAGTCTAATCAGATTACGGATCAACTAGGAAGCTTTGGAGAGTTGTGTGAATGTGTTCTGCAGCTTGGCCATTTCTGGTATCAGGCAAACTGCTCAGTTGGTCTGATAATGGTGTACCCCAAAAGCCACTAGTCCTATCCACACTGATCCTACACTGAGCCACTGTCACCTGAGAGACAGTAGTACGTGTCCAGTCTGGGGTGGTGTCACAACCAATAGCTGGAAGCAGACAGCTAGGGAGGCAGAGAACAGGCTGAACATAGCAATACTGCCCTGAATGCATTTCCAGCCTTTAATGATGCAGGGTATCTGAGGCTACACTAAATAGCCCATCATGGATTTAAAAAATTTTTTTTTCCCTTTGTAATCAGTCTCAAGTCCTGACAATCCTGCCCTGGATCTTTTCCAGTTCCAATTAACTCAAGGCCTTCTGCTGCTCCTCCAATTTGCAAAGGAGTGTTGAAAAATAATAATATTAAAATGCAAGCCAACTTGACCAGGCCTGGATAAAGTTTCCATCACGTTCTTAAAGAGTTATCTATGACAATGTAGGAAAAACTAAGTCATAGCCTTGGAGAAGTAGGAAACACCAAGTAAGGTGGCTTTTTCCCACTCAGCAGCTAGGGCAATGTGGGAAGGAAGGCAGTTTCAGCCAGACCATTTTATCTCTGAGACCAGATGGCTTTAAATGCTTCCCCAGAGCTTGGAAAGGGCCAGGCACTGCTTTGAATTGCTTTTCATACCACCTCATTAGTAAGTAAAATGAAAGAAATGAACAATCTATAACTTTGTGGCAACGGGAAACAGCTCTGTTAATCCCATTTCCTTCCCCAAGCTTACTCAGGGCAGGTCATCCAACATCAGGGCCACATCACCTAATTTGCTTATCATTGCCCCACAGTCAGGAGCGTGGGCACCAGCTCAAAGGGCAGATGCATCCTCCTGGGCATTATTAATAAATTGGAAAGGTCCAGGTTGTTAAACCTGCCCCGGTGCATAATTGCGACACTCCTGGCACCCAGCTTCTACTTGCTGCTGCAGATCCAAGGAGTGGCCTCCTGAGCTCAGGAGGAGCCAAAGAGCACTGACAGGTCCTCATCCATGGCACCCAGGCTCACCATGCCACCCAGTTCCCTGCCAGCCCTTTCCCTCTGCCTTCCTCTCCCACGGGAGCACTACATCTTCTCACAGAGAACCTCCACTTTGTGTCCAGCTGGAAAGGTGTCCAAATGCAGCCTCCTGAAAGAGTCAGGACTAGAAGGTTTCAGGCTTTTAGCGCTTGTTCCTGGGTCCCACAGCAGAAGGCAGCTTTGGGCAACACATCAGGCAGACAGCATTTGGTTTGTTGGTTGGACCCACAGCTCCAAGGGTAATAACGAGTGTCTTGGCACAGAGTCAGTGGCTGGAGTGGGGTAAAAGTTAAAAAAGTTAAAGGAACAGGAAAGGAATCAGCAACCCCTAGCTTAGTTTCTCAGATGAGGAGTGCCAGATTTTAGCAAACTGCTAGCTGCATACAACAAAACTAGATGTCCCTGTTCTGGAGCTATGCACAGCTGGCTGTCAGCATTGCTGTCCTGCAGACACGGCTGGGGACATGAGCATCTGGCTGAGTCCAACCCACCCCTGCCTTCCAGCTGGACTGAGATCCAGTGATAAGCAGCTCCACAATACATCCCCCAAATCTGTCACCCATAGAGCTGAAGGGCTTCAGGGCACTCGGGAAATAGCTGTTGGACGGGGGAGTAGGGAAGGGATCCAGGAGCAGCTGGTCTAGCAGAGACCCACCCAGCCCTGCAGACGGCCAAGGCCACGGAACCAGCAGTGCAAAGATGCCGTGGAGCATAGACGCAGCCAGCCCTCCAGCTCATCCCAAATTGATCCACAGAGGATGCTGCCCTCTTCTGGGCCTAGCGTGACTGGCAGAGATTCAGGGAAATTTGGAAAGGCTCGAGTGCTTTTTGGGGCTCAAATCCCCATATAGAGTTTCTCAAATGTGGTGACTTTCCATACCTGTCTCAGTGAACATCCCAGGGACTTTTCCCGCCGAGACTCAGGCTGCTGGGTCTGCGGGTGACCTCTGAGCGCAGCCTGGAAAGGGAGAAGCAGGGCCAAGCTCAGGAGCCGTCCCTGAAAGACAGGGAGATGGGTACTTCTCCTGGGCCAGCTGCCAACTGTGAGATCTGCTAGCATTTAATCGTAATTATTATTTTCATAAATTAATTAATTAATTTGATAGCAAAATAAGCTCATATTCAATTAATGAACTTGTAATAGGGTCCTGTGTCGCCCCATCAGCCCGGGGACGGCCGACCGCCCGCCGCGTCCCCGCCCCGCCACCTGCGGGGGGACACAGGGGCCGGAGGGGTGGTCCCTGCGGACTCCCGTGTCCCTGGAAGGCGCTGCCCCCCCGGCAGGTGCCGACCAGCCCTGCCCGGGCCGGGCCCCGCCTGCTGGCCCCGCCTCCTGCCGGCACTTCCCCACGGCCCGGGCAGGGCTGGGGCGGCTCTGCGGGCCGTGCCCGCCGTGCGGAGGTGCGGGAACACTTCCCGCCGCGGGATTCCCCTCTTACCTGCCCCGAGCGGCCCTGCGGCACCGGTGGCACAGCTCCTACACAGTGAGCCCCGGAGCTCCCGCGGACCTCGGGCAAGCAGGAGCCCGCCGAGCCCGCCTCCTCAGCATGAGGACGCCGACGGCGATGATCGTGGGACTGGTGCTGTGCCCCTGCGGGCTCCTGCTGACGCTCACGGGCACCCTGGCACCCAGCTGGAGGAAGGTGAGCCTCGTACCTAACCAGCCCATGGACCTCGTCTGGGAGCAGGGCATCTGGGACATATGCAGGGAGCGGCAGAGCACCCATGACCGCCTCTGCGGGCAGGCCGACGAGCTGGGCTACTTTGAGGAGGTACCCGTGCGGGTGGCCCAAGGGCTGATGCCCTCCTCGCTGGTGATCACGCTCCTGGGCTTGGTGGTGGCTGCCCTGGGGGTTCGCTGCTGGCAAGAGGAGCCACGGCACCTGCTGGCTGGAGTGGCAGGGCTGGTGCTGCTTCTCTCGGGGCTGATGAGCCTCGTGCCCACCTCCTGGTACACCCATGAGCTGTGGGCACTGCCCGCACTGCCTGGCAGCACACTGGCTGTAGGCTACAGCTTGGTGCTGAGCTACTTGGGAAGCTGTCTGGAGATCTTGGGGGGGCTGGCCCTTGCCCTCAGCTTTCACCAGTGCTGCAAGGAGCACAGGGCCCCCAAACTGTCCCCCAGCCCTGTGCTGGAGCCTGGGCTGTGCTCCACCATTGGGGCTTACAGCAATCCCTGGGACGTGCTGAAGGATGAGCGAGATGGACAGTACTGGAGGAACAATCCACCTTGTGACTCAGACTTGTAGCCCCAGCACCAGGACAGCAGTCCCCTGCCTGGCACCGAGAGCAGTGCTGGCTCCTGACCTACAAGCCATGCCCTTCTCCTGGGGCACCTCAAAGCAGCCTGAAAACAAGACCAGGGACCTGGCTTGAATCTCTGCAACTTCCTCAAAAGCCTGCTGTGCTCTAGGTCCTACAACTGTGCCAAATCTACACTGGGTTGAGGGCTATACATAGCTCTGGTCCCTCCATGCAGCTTTTAACTCATCCTCCTGCACCTGCACAGGAGCTTGATCAGAGGCAGCTTCACTGTTCCCATGTAAGGAAGGTATAGGTTAGCACCATGCAACCTTCAGGACTGAGAATAGGGGAGGGGTGCACCTCCCACGTCTCTGCCCAACTCAGGACTGTGCAAACAGCAAAATAAATGCAAAGCAATGGGTCTGTACTGTGGGATGGTTACGGGCTTTCTGCCAGGCAGGCTTGGCTGAGAGCCAGTGGGCATGGCTAACCCAGCCTCCCTGTGCTTTGCCTGAAGCAGGGAGGAAAAGTCTGTAAAAGTTTTATGGCACCTTCTTAAAGGACTTTTCCCCCATGGACAAAATCAGCTCTGGTAGAGGTTTCTCCTTCCTTGAGCACAGCCACTTCAGGGGGAAAAAAAAACCAACAAGGGAACACAGAGTACAAAATAGCATATTCAACATTAGCCTGGTATGATGTGGTAAAACTGGTCTCACTGGTTTGTAAGGGACAGTCAGGAGGTCAGAACTGGACTATAAAATCCTGCTCAACATCTTGCATAACATGATAAGAGCAAAGCCAGCTTCCTTGCAGAGCTATTTGGCCAGATTTCCACCCCAGGCAAGCCCAAAGCACCATGGTCAGCAAGCTAAGCCTTGCTGCAGAGGGACAGTGGCTCATGATGCTCTTAGTGTGGTTATAGGATAGTACAGGATGCATCCTGCAACAGGGGATCAGATTCAGGTGGCTCAGAGTGTGTTGAGATTGGAGACTTCCTGATAAACCTCCCAAACCTTTTTCCTCTGGACTGTTATGTTCCGTAGAGCTTAGACATCGTGAAAGAGCAAACCTCCCCAGCCCACACACAAACGACAGCGGCACAAGAGATGCTGCACAACATTCCTTTATGAAAATACAGTGTTGGGGTGAGATGGTCCCTTCCTTGGCAGGGCTGGCAGCTCCTGCAGAGATCACAGATGGGTGCGTGAGGGGTGAGTCTGAGCCAGCTTCTCTGAGCCCACCCCACACTTTATCACAGGGGCTCCAGCCACACTGGAGCTGGACAGCCCTTTCAGACACCAGGCACCCCAGGTGTTGCCCCTCTCCTCCAGCAGGAGGGCAGAGCTTGCCTCAGGAGTGGGCACCATGCCAGCACTGGGCCTTGGGGCACCCCAGGGTGGCAGGGGTGACCCTACCAGGGCCTGCTCCTGTTGTTACTCACCTCTTTCCCATCGTAAGCTTCATTCACAAATGTATCACTCTTGGGGGGAAGCTCTTCTTCCTCCTCTTCCTCATCCTCTTCCTCGGGGTCACTTTCACGGTGGTACAAGGTCAGCACCCGGGTAGAAGCAGTGCTTGAGGTCCTGGGGAGGAAAAAACATATACTAAGAATGGCATGGCCGTCTCCTAGAGATGGGGCAGATCCTAAGGTCCTGCCACAAGCCCTAGTAATAGCCTGCTGGGGTGATCGAGCTTTCTGTATAACCCAGGGGTGCATCAGGACACCACACTGTCCCTGGGCAAGGAGACCCAGTACCTCTCTATCCCCAGTTATACCTGGCCCAGCCCAACCCCAGAGTTCACCTCCTCCGCCTGTCCCGCCTCCGCATGTAGGCCAGGGCCCCCACAGCAGCAGCAGCGAGCAGGAGGAGAACGGCCACGCCCAGGACGATGGGTCCTGCGAGGGGCTGCACCTCTGCTTCCTCGCAGTAGTCGCCACGATAGCCCAGGGCGCAATGGCACGTCACTCGCCCGGCCTCGATGGCGCAGTCCCCGCGCAGGTTGCACGTCTCGCTGCTGCACGGCACAGCCCTCAGCACCTCCTCCGTGCTGGGGGGTACCAGGAAGGGCTCTCCGTGCTCACGGGGTCCAGGGGCTGCGGGTGGGCTGGGGCTGGGCTGCCGAGGCTGCAGTGCAGTTGCGGGTGAGGCTGGTTTCTGTTCTTCCACGTGGGACATTCCTGATGGTGACACTGCGGGGACTTGCGTCCCCACCTGCTGGGAGGGGCCTGGCGGGAGGAGCATAGGTCAGCAAGAGACCCAGGCAAGTCCTCCTTCCCCAACTGGGGAGACTAGCCGGGCTACCCCGTGCCCTGCCAGGACTGCTGCACGCCCTGGCTGTGGGCAGGCACTCACAGTCAGACTCATCGGCGCCGTCAGCGCAGTCAGAGCGCCCGTCACAGACCTGTTCTCCAGAGATGCAGCTCTGGAGATCAGAGCAGGGCTGGAGCGTGGCAGGGCAGGACAATGCTGGTGCACATGCTGCTCCACGCACGAGGTGGTAACCGTGAGAGCAGCGGCACTGCCGCCCTGCAGGGTTGGGCAGGCAGAGCTGGGCACAGCCCCCGTTGCTCTTTGCACAGGCATTGGTGCCTGCCAAAACAGCACGAGTTAGCATGGACACCACTGAGCACGGCTCAACCCCACAGATGCCCTGGGCTGGGACAGTTGCAGACCCACCTTCCTGTGAGAACTGGCTGTAAATCCTCATGGCTACCAAATCCTTCTCCATTGCGAACCACCACCTCTCAGCCCGCTCCAGCCGGCTGTGCCAGATCTTGCTGGATCCTGGAGACACATGGGGTCAGCACTGCTTCACTTCCTCCCATAAGAGTGCCCAGGATAGGAGGTGGGGGTCCCCTAACCTGTCCTTCACCCCACGGAGGGGCAGCCTGCACCCCACAGGGACTGGCAGAAACCCCTGTGCCCCAGCGCCGTAAGAGGAGCTGGACAAAGTACAGCAAACAGACCCACCATTGGTTGAGGTCGTGCTCCAGAGCAGAAAGCCTTCTCCTATGGCAAACAGTGAGAGACCATGCAGCCCTTCCCGCACCACCCGAAAGTGGGATCCATCCAGCTCGACACTGCTGATGGTACCTCTCTCTGCAGGACACAGATGGAGCAACATCAGTGTGGAGACACGGAGAGCTGTGTGGGGCTGTGCCTTGGGGAGGACTGAGTGCCTGCACCACTGCTACCCCCAGCAGAGCCCTGGCACACCCCACACTCACCGTGGTCTGCCCAGTACAGCCTGGTGCCAGCAGCCCCAAAGGTGAGGCCAGTGGGAGCCCGAGCTCTCCTCCAGACCGCTCTGCGGCCAGTGCCATCCATGGCTGCACACTCCACTGTGGCACCGGGCCCATGGCTGCCAGCTGCTGTGATAAAGCACATGGTGGAGGCACGAGGGCACAGTGCCAGCCAGGCAGCGCCCTGCAGCCCCTCACTGAGTAGTGCCAGGGTCCACCGCCCCCCAGGAGCTGCCACATGGATGCTGGGCGGCTGCCCCCTGATCCAGTACAGGTTCCCACTCAGCCAGTCCAAGGCCAGGGATGTCACCGTGCCCTCCACAGCTACTGCCTTCTTCCAGGACAGCCGTCTCCAGTCCTTCAGGCGCAGCAGTCCGATGGAGTTGCCTCCCACCTCTGCAAAGTACAAACTCTTGTCTTTCACTGCGTAGTCGATGGCTGTCAGGTGGCCCACCTTGGCCAAGGGCAGGGCCCGGTGCAGGGGAAGCTCTTGGGATCCAGATGTTGCAGGCAGGTCCTTCAGGTAGACCTGGAGGAAGGAGGCAGCAGTAAGATGGGGACCTTTCTGCCCTGACAGCAGCTAGGACAGCAGCCCCTAGGGCTGGCTCTGGAGGATGGTACCTGTGCCACAGCTGCTGGTGACACCAGGAGAGCAAAGGCCGAATCACGGAGGGGCAGGCAGGTGGTCTCATCGGCAGCCAGCACCAGCCTGGGAGGGCACCGGCACTGCCCAGTGTGCCTGGCGCTCAGCAGGCACAGGTGGGAGCAGCCACGTGTCTCACAGGGGTTAGGGGCTGTGGGGCGCAGGGCTGGGTGCATCACCTGTGAGAAGGGCAGGCTCATCTCACAGCCCTGCCAGCACCCACCAGCAGAGCTGAGCACGATTGACACCGTGCCCTCCTCCCAAGGCCCACACACGGCCCAGCTCTGGGCAGGATGGCGAGGCAGAGATGTTCCAAGAGGACCAGAGACATTTGGCTACAGGGGCTGCTGCCCAAGGACCACTGGGATGGGGGTACAGTGCCTCCACACTTAGAGGACGACAGGATCATGCAGGTTGAGAGACCCAGCAGAGCTGGCACAGCAGGGTTTGGGGCTCCCCAAGTGGGTACCTGGAGGCCATGGGGCTGCCCGTGCTGCTTGAGCAGCGTGGTTCTGTTCTTGCCACTGGCCTTGTCCACCTGCTGCACGGACCATGTCTTCCTCTCCGACCAGTAGATCTGGCCCTCACACACGGCCGCCGCGAAGGGGCTCCGGACCCAGCTCAGCTTCAGGACCTGTCAGAGAGGCTGTAAGTGCCCACCCCAGTCCCCATCAGGGCCCCGTCAGCAATGCCCCACCACAAACCTTCACACTGGTGCCATCCAGACGTGCAGAACTGACACTGCCCAGCTTCTCATCCAGCCAGAAGATCCTCTGGGTGGGGAGGTCGAGGGCTAATGCTGTGGGCCAGCCCAGCCCCTGGGCTAGCAGCACGTGCCGCCGACTCCCATCCATCGTGGACTCCATCAGCCGTGGGTGGCTCCCCACCTCTGACCAGTACAGCAGGCTAGTGGGAAGAGAGGTGCCGGCCCATGGACCACACACAGCATCGTCCCAGTACATGGAGGAAAATGGGGCAGGGGAGGGATGGTAAGGAGGTCTCCATGTCCCCTTGTGGCAGACTTACCCTGCCAGAGGCTGGAGCACCAGAGAATGGGGCTGGTCCAGATCTCCATCCATCACCACAGTGTACTCTGGTATCCCTTGCCAGGCAGCGCCCAAGCGAGTGGCCAGCACCTGTCCTGCTGCACCATCTGTCCAGTACAGGTTCCTCCCAAGCCAGTCCACTGCTATACAGTCTGATCTCACACCTGCAACACATCCAAGAGTCAGCACCTGTGGGGTGACAGCTGCATGGCCCTCTGGCACATGCTCCCAGCCCACATCCTCTCTATCCCAGGCTGTCTGGCTCCTCCCAGCCTTGCTCCCAACTAGCACCTCTCCACGCAAGGTGACACAGCCTGGCACGCCACTGCAACCTGGAGATTGCCCAGCGACAAAGAGGCCAGCTCTGCTACCCCCATGCTGTCACAGCCTACCTTTCACCAGTGTGCCTTTCTTGCCCGAGTTGAGGTCCTGCCAGCGGATGCTCTCTGTGGCCAGGTCCATCCAGAAGACTTTCCTCTCCACCAAGTCATAGTCGAGTGAGAAGATGACGCGATCCTTGTCGGTGGCCAGCAGCACCTCCTTATGCCCACTCCGCAGGCCATAGGACAACACCTCTGACTGCACAGCCACCAGCAACATGGGCTCTGGTCCTGGGGCAACACAGAGCGCCCCGGACCCTGCTCAGCACTGGTGGCCCCATGGGCTCAACACATGCAGGCAGGGAATAAAGCACTTGCAGGCACTGGAGCCTGCTGGGACTCAGCCCTACCAGATAAGATGTTCTCAGATAGTGCAGATGGATTTTCTGACCAGCTGTAGGCTGGCAATCATCAGCTCACAGCTGAGTGGGGCCTGGCAGGCAATGTGGCAGAGGAGACAGGGCCATTCATGGGACCACAAGCCTCCCTGGGGCAGCAGGCACAGGGGGACAGGTACCCACCAGCTCCTGGTGTACCCTAGGGGGCCAGGGATCCTCAGCACTGCTTGGCCATCCCATGACTTACCAGTGAGTTTGCAGACACGGCCATCAGGCTCCAGCAGGTAGCCAGGGAGACAGCCACAGCTGTAGGACCCTGGGGCATTGAGGCATGTTTGGCTGCAGGCTCCCTCACCCCACTCCGTGCACTCATCTATGTCCATGCAGAACAGACTATCCTCGGCAAGCCGATAGCCTGGGCCACACCAGCACCGCTGTGGGGAAAAGGACCATCAGCTTCCCACCCTGGGGACATGATGCTCCCTCCTGCAGCTGGACCAGGGCATCATGGCATGGCAAGCCCCTGGCCCAGGGCTGGTGGCACTCACAGGGCCCTGGGGCGAGGGGTAGCAGAGATGAGCGCAGGACTGTTTGCAGGGCACAGAGCAGTTCCCCCCCTCGTCTGAGCCATCCGCGCAGTCCTGCCGGCCATCACACACCAAGGATGCATTCAGGCAGGTCCCCAGCCCACAGGGATACTCATGACTCTGGCAGGGAGCAGGCTGGCCTGCAGAGACATGTGGGGAAGGCTGCCCTAAGCCTCATCCACCAGCTCCTTTTGCTCACCTGGGGCAGATTTAATGGCTCCTAGAGCCTGCCCAGAGCTCATTGCAGCTACATCCAGAGCTGTGCCAGTAGCCTGGCTTCAGGCTATATTAATCCAAAGGCCACCAGCCATACATGGAGAACAGCTGGGGCCTGGAGCCACCACAGATGCTGGGAATAGGCAATCAGCACATAGGGCCTTTTACCTCAGCACAGACACATAGCCATCTTCCTCTGTGCTGGGCACCCACCAGCTACCCCGGGTGATACACAGAGGTGATAAAATCAGGGTGTAGCTCACAGCCAGCTTCATCGCTGCCATCTGTGCAGTCAGTCTCTCCATCGCAGCGCCAGACATCAGGGATGCACTCATGGCCATGGGAGCAGCCCCACTGCTGGTCCCCACACAGCGCTTCCTCCCAAGGACAGTCCTGCAAAGGCAGAGGGTAAAGAGGGTTACCAGCTCTCCTGGGCACGAGCAGGGACAAGCGCTGTCCCTGCTACCCCACTCACCTGCTCGTCTGTGCCATCCCCACAGTCAGCAGTGCCATCGCAGAGCCAGGCCTCCGGCACACACTCCCCACTGTGGGAACACGTTACCTCACCCGCACGGCAGAGCAGTGGCCGGGGCACGGCACAGCCCTCCTCGTCTGAGTGGTCCTGGCAGTCGTGGTCACCATCGCAGTGCAGGGCCAGGGCCACGCACTGCCCATTCTGGCAGGGGAACTCAGACGGGCCACACTCCTTCGGCACTGTGGGCAAGGCCAGGACTGAGCAGGTGCACTGTCCTCATTCCCATCCCACCAATGGAGACATGGCACTGAGCAGGGTATGGCCTCTGCAGCTGCTCAGCAGGTTGCCCCAGGCAGTGCCTGCTCCTGGACCCACAGGAAAACCGGTGCATGCACCAGTGGGGCAGGTAACCCCAGAAACCCCTGTCCTGTCCAGCCCCAGAGTCTCACCACAGCCCTGCTCGTCAGTGTGGTCCAGGCAGTCAGCATGGCCATCACACAGCCAACTCTGGGGGATGCAACGGGTGGCAGCGTCACAGCGCAGGGCACACTCCTGCGTGGGGGTCCAGCAGCCTGTCTCATCCGAGGCATCGGGGCACTGGGGCACCCCATCGCAGCGCTCTCCCGCCCCGACGCACATGGCTCCGCTCGCGCAATGGAAGGCCCCTGGGGAGACAAGGGGCTTTGCACTGCCTGCAGAAGGCAGCTGGGGTGCCCAGACACTGTTAGTCTCCCAGTGACCCAGAAAGGCCATACACTACAGTGGCCCCTCCTAGCCCGTGCATCTCCAGCAGCCTAGGTCCTGAGCAAGGTGACTGAGGCAGTCTCAGCTCAGCCACATCTAGGTCACTGTGAGCAGTGGGACCAGCCCTGTTGCCTTCTGACAGCATCTCCAGTCCAGTGCCAAGCTCAGAAGGCACCAGTATGCCACATGACAAGCATCAGAGCCCAGGACACACTCAGATTTTTCCAGGGCCCAATTCCCCATCAGGAAGCAGCCAGAAGCCCTGGCACAGGGTGACCCAACTGCACAGAGAGTCGACTGAAGAATGGCTCCTACCTGGGGTGTTGCAGAGCTGGGCACACCCATCCTCATCAGAGCCATCTGCGCAGTCTTTCTCCCCATCACACAGGTACTCCTGAGCCACACACTCAGTGCCATCACGGCAGGACACGTGTGTGCGAGGACAGGACAGATGAAGTACGGGGGTCAGGGGGTGAGCAGGGCTGGATGGGAGTGGTGGGGTAGGTGGCACTACCCGTGCAGGACTGGTTGGGTGCTGGGTGGTAGTAGTTGGCCGTAGGACAATGACCTTAGTTGGCAAAGCTTGAGTGGTGGTGGTGGTGCTGGTGGTTGTTGGCTGCACGGTGGTGGTCTTGGTTGGTGTGGCAGTGGTTGGCAGAGGGGTGGTTTTTGTTGATGTGGACTGGCTGGTGGTGGTTGGTGTGGACTGGCTGCTGGTGGTGGCCTTGCTGGTTGGCACAGGAGTAGTGGTGAGCACAGTGGTGGTCTTGCTTGGTGTAGATCTTGTGGTGGACGTGGTGGGACGAGCAGCAGTGGTGCTTGTGGTTGTCCTCATAGTGGTTGTCACAGGTGGAGGGAGTGGCAGGGCAGACCCCTTGCTTGATGGCACTGGCAGAGGATTTGGGATTTGGGGCTGTACCATCCCCACACCCTGGGCACTTTCCAGAGCACCCCACATGGGCACCAGCAGCCAGGCACCCTGCCCTACTTCAGAGCAGCATGGGCCACCCAGCCCCACCAGACACAGCTCCTGTGCCAGCCACAGAGCCATGGCTGCCCTTACCAGCCTGCAGCTCCGAGCCCACGAAGGCCACTACACCCTGCACGCCTGCTGCCGGCATGGACAGCACAAGGGTCAGTGTCCTCCGGTCCCACAGTAGCAGAGCCGTCCCATTTGCCGACACCAGGTATGGCTCAAAGGCTGCCACAAGGCCGTGGGGCCAGCTGGGTGCCAGAGTGACTGCTTGCCGCTTGGTCAGACTCAGCACCTGCAGGCCTGTGAGGCAGAGGGATGGTAGGACCCAGGGCCCACAGGCACCCCTCGTGGCCCACCCTGTGCCCCCATAACCCACAGCTATCGCAGGGACCTCATGGCTGAGGCCAGGGGCTCAGCCATGGGAAAGAGTCTGCCCCATGAGCATACTACTGCCCAGGCAGGGACCTGCTGCACATAGGGCATGGCTGATCACTCCTGCCTACATCCACCACCTCTGCTCTCTGCTCCAGACACCACCAGGGCTCACCCAGGGTGGAGCTCCAGAGCACGCTGAAGGCTCTGCTATCCATGGCTGCAGGCAGGTCTCCAGGCCATGTCTCGTTCCAGGCATCCCACGGAGCACCCCCAGCCAGGCTCAGCTGCTGCAGGGGCTGCCCACGGGCTAGCCAGTACAGAGCACCCCGTTGCCAGTCCAAGAAGAGGTGCTGGATACTGCTGCGAGCACGGTGCAGGATGCGCGGGAACATGTCAGATGTCCGGATCACCCCGATGTCCCTCCGGTTGCATGCGAGCCAGTACAGGTCCCCCGAGCGGATGTCCACACGGGCAGAGCAGACTTGGCAAGAGCAGGCAGGCAAGCAGTTACAGGGCTGTCCCATCACCCTGCTTCTCTGCCTGGGACCCCCAACCCCTAAACCCAGGGCACAGCCTACTGCCTTGGCACAGACCCACTGTGGGCACCATCAGACTACTGTGCTCTGCACCCAGGACATACTCAGGCCTCAGGGAGCATCAGGAAGGGGAGTATGCCCTCCATCACCCCATAGGGTCTCACCTGGCCGCCCAGTTGCAATGGCCTCTCTCCTGCCAGGGTGCCCCACAACACTCAGCAGCGTCCCACGGTCATCTGTTCCATAGAGCACTGACCTCTGCCAGTCCACATCTTGCAGGTGGAAGGGCTCCTGCCACTCCTGTACCCATTTGCTCTGTGCTCCAGGACCCACATGCACCAGGGAGATGGCCTTTCCTGATGCATACATGATGGACAGCTCTGCAGGGTACAAGGGCAATGTGTGAGCATAGCCCCAGCAGTACTGGACAGGGCCACCAGCATGAACCAAGGCAGAAATGTAACAGCAATGGTGTATGCTGGGCCTACCCCATCAAAGCCACAGCCCTCCCCCACCAAAGCCACAGCCCTCCCCCAGCTCCCACAGGGATATATACTGCCCCAGAGAGACAACCCACCTCATAGACCCTGCTCACCTGTGCACTTTCCCGAGGGCAAGAGGAAGAGGCCCTCTGGACAGGCACACTTGTAGCCCCGAGGGTGCACAGGTGACAGGAGGCAAAGATGACTGCACAGGCCTGGAGCACATGCAGCAGTGTCCCCTGGGAGCAAGGGGACATTAGAAGCTCAAACAACTGTGACCCTCTAATGTCTCTCCCAATCCCCAAAATCACAATCTGTCCTGGGGCTGGATATGGGCTGGCAGATATGGTAGCAACGTCACATGAGTTAGGAGGGCGCAGCTCTACCCAAAGCCATGGGACTTGGCAGCTTTCCTATGGACTCATATGTCCCCTCTGTCTCAACCACACAACCCCTCATCACAAGACCAGGTAAACCATTGGGCAGGACCCAGTGAGCTCCAGGACCTAGCACAGCCTCCCCCAGCATCCAGGGATGCGGTGGGGGGGCTGCCAGCCCTGCAGTGGTGCAGCACCCACAGGGTACTTACGGGGAGGCTGCTGCAGTGCGTGCACCACAGTGAAAGCTGAGACAGGGGCGCGGAGCAACACTGCGTGCTCCTGAGGAGAGGCCCAGGTGGCTGACACCAGCTCTGTGCCATCGGTCCAGAAGAATCGGCTCTCAAACACAGCCAGGCCCAGAGGCTCCGTGTGGCTCCGCAGAACAGCATGAAAGGAGTGGCGCCCACTGCCATCCACCCGTAGCGTCTCAATGGACTGGGGACAAAGCAAGGTATGATGACCGTGTGGCATCCTCATGCCCTGGCAATGTCCCACAGCCACAGGCCTCATGGTGATGCCATCACCTCCCAGTCCAGGGATGTAGGCCAGACCTGGGCACTGCTCCCTGCTCTCTCCCATGCCTTGGACGTAGACAGAGGGGAACCAGGGCCACCCTCCCAACTCCCATCTCATCATCTCCCTGTGGGAGGAGAGCCCTGCTGTCCCTTGTCCCTACCTCCTTGTACTCGCTGATCCAGTACAGTCTCCCAACCACATGGTCCAAGCTTAGTCCCACAGGCTCCTCCATGGGCACCACTGTGAGCTCCCGCCGGTTTGAGCCATCCATGCCAGCCGCAGCAATGACTGTCCGGCCTCGCTGCCCACGGTTGACCCAGTACAGTGACCTAGGGGCAGGCACCAAGGAACCACTTCACAGCATAATACCAGTGCTGCCACAGCCCCAAAACAGGCAGGACACAGTCAGCACCAGCATCACGATCCCAGGAGCCTGGGCCAACCCTGGCTCATTCACTCCTCACCTTGCAGCCGGATGCACTGTCAGCTGCTCTGGTGCAATGTCTTTCCCCAGCACTGTCACATAACCCCGGCCATCGCCCAGCCCTGCACAGATAGCTGGAGGATGGCTGCTGGCCCAGTATAGCTGCCCTGTGAACCAGTCCAGGGAGATGCTGTTCACCTCTCTGGCATCTGCAGAGACAGAGTAGTTTTAAGGCATACCAGCGTGCTCCAGGCTGCAAGGCAAACCCAAGTTGCCCCTACTCTGTATAGGAAAGGCAGGACTGAGATGGCAGGCCAGCTCTCGGCACCCATCTCAGCCCCACTACAGCACCCAGCCTCACTCCTCCCCACCTGCATAAAGGGGCTGCGTGCCTTTCCCCAGAGAGTGAACACGGAGCTCGCCATCCTCTGTCAGCCAGTAGTAGGTTTCTCGGAGCTGGTCATACACCAGGGCGCGGGGTTCAGTCTTAGTGGAGAGCCGAGGCCTGTAGGCTTGGGTCCGTACATCCAGAAGGGCCAGGTCCTGCCCCACGGCCACCAGGATCTGTGTTGCATTGTCTGCCGGGGTGAGAGGAATGCCACTCAGTGAGCAGGGACGTGGCTAGCTGGGTGCACTGCCCAGCCCCTCAGCCAGCCCGGGCTCCCCAGCTCACCCTACCTGTCACTTCACAGGCAGTGCCGTGCTGCAGGGTATAGCCCCGGAGGCAGGCGCAGCTGTAAGTGCCTGGAGTGTTGCTGCACAGCTGGCTGCAGGGGCTGTACTCCAGGGAGCATTCATCCACATCTGCAGGGATAGGTGCAGTCAGGAGCCTACCACAGGAGCTGCCCCAGACAGCATTGCCACTGCTCCCCAGGGACCACAGGCAGGCTCCCTAGATACCAGAACATGGGCCTTACCCCAAAATGCACCAGCTGCTGCTGGGACATTTTCTAGATATGGCCTTTGTGGGCCAGACATGACACATGGGCAGGAGCAGGGCAGAGGCAGGTGTTCCCACAGAAGCACTGGCTCCATGGAGACCCTGTTCTCTGTGGCTGAGGCCACATGTGCCTGAAGCACATGCACCCTGATCTTTCCTTACCAGCACAGCTCTGCCCATCTGCCTGCAGCACCCAGCCAGCCCCGCAGGAGCACTGCACTCCCCAGTGTGTGTCAGCACATGTCTCTGCACAGCCCCCATTACGTACAAAGCAGCTCTGATCTGTGGGGACACAGCAAGGGGTGACATGAGGCAGGACAGCTCTGTGGCTCCCCTCAGCCCCAGCCTCACGGGCAGCGGCCAGCAGCCATACCCAACTCACCACACGTGCTGGGCTCATCAGTGCCATCCAGGCAGTCAGCCTCTTCATTGCACATCAGGGACTCCAGGATACACTTCCCCTCATCACACCGCACCATGCCAGGTGGACAGGTGGCTATGGCACACACAGCTCATGTCAGCAGGGCAGACCAATACCAGGTGGACAAAGGGGAAACCCTGGGTCCCAGACTCATGGGGAAGTCCCTCAAAATATCAACAGTTCCTGGGAAGGTTGCCACCATCCCAAGGTGAGCTGAGGCCCGGGAAAGCAAAGTACTCCCTACTTCACACATGGCCTGGACAGGTCTTGCCCCACTGAGGAGCATCTATTGTGCTTGCTTACCGCAGACATCTTCATCCGAGGAATCGCCACAGTCATCAATCCCATTGCACTTCCACTCAGCCATGATGCACACCCTGTTCCTGCACTGCCACTGCCCAGGCAGGCAGGGCTGCTGGGGACACCCCTCCTCATCCCAGCCATCCTCACAGTCCTGGTGCTGATCGCACAGCTCCCAGTGTGGGATACAGTGGTGGGTGCCAGGACACTGCACCTTCTTTGTCCCGCACACTAAGGAGGGAACAGCGCAGCACTCACCACCCTGCCCTGTGCCCCTAACCACCCCCACTCGGCGCCCCCAGTAGAGACTACGTACCACAGTCCTGCTCATCAGAGCCATCCAGGCAGTCAGCAACACCATCGCAACGCCAGCTGCTAGAAACACACCGGCCATCGTCACACTGCCAAACATGGGGGTCCCCGCCACAGGCAACCTCTGCAGGAACATCACACAGTCACTGGGACCTATTGCTATGGCAGAACCATAAGGGTCCCCTCCATCCTGGCACGGGATAGGTGCTGGCAATGCCTGAGCAGCTCTGCCAAAGGGGCTGGCCCACAGCAGCCCCCAGTGGGGCTCTCTGGCAGGTGGGGTCTGCCTTGCTCAGCATAGCATCCAAGACATGTTCCCGTGCCACAGACATTCACAAGGAGCACACATGTCCCCGCAGGATGCCACACAGGCAGAACCAGCAAAGAGCAAAGTGCCTCTGGCCTGCCCTGCCCCACCACTCCCCAGAGCACCATTGCCCCTCGATGCCCACTCAGTGCAGCCCTCAGGTCCGCCCCACAACAGCGGATAGGTGTCAGTGTTCCCTCGCTCACCGCACTGTTCGTCCGTCCCGTCAGGACACTGCTGCTCGCCATCGCAGAGCCAGGGAACGGGGATGCAGCCGGCGGCGCAGGTGGCCTGGCGTGAGGCAGCGCACGTGGGGCCAGCGGCCGCTGCGGAAAGAGAGCGCCCAACCCGGGATCAGCGCGGGTAGCAGCACCAGGCATCCCCCTGCACACCCGCCCTACAGCTCCCCGCATGTGTGTCCCAGCACAGCCCCGTGGGGGGGAAGGAATTGGTCCCAGCCGGGGGTACCCCAGGAACTCCTGCGAGGCTGGAGGGAGAACTACAGCCTCTCGTCCCCGCTCAGGGAAGGCAGAGGTACAGGGCTCCTCGGGGCGCAGGGACCCTATGCTGTCAGGATGGGAAGGATGCCACACGGAGCAGGGACACATCACCGGGGGAATGGGGAGAACGGTGGCACTCTCGGTAACAGGGACATCCCACCCCATAGCCCATTGCTGGGGGATGAGCAAGCAATCCCTGATGCTACGGGCACCCACCGCAGCCCCTCGGGATGAGACAGGGACCTCCCCAGCAGCCCCCGGCCCGCCCCCCCTCGGTCTTTGCTCACGGGCGCGGCGGGTCCCGACGCCGGCGGCGCTCCCGGCCAGCGGCAACAGCGGCGGCAGGAGGATGCTGAGGAGGGCGAGGAGCAGGCGGAGCGGCGGCGGGGGCCAGCCCATAGCGGCGGCGGCGGCGACAGAGAGGGGCGGCTCCGGGGGTCCGGCCGGCACAGGGAGCGCGGAGCCGCGGCCGCCGCCTTTATGGCCGGGCGCGGCCGGCCATTGGGCACCGCGGAGACCCAGGCCCGCCCCTGGCTTCTCCAGGTTCTCCCCCCCGCTGCCCCGTGTCTTCCCGCCCGGCGGGGGTTGTTGTGAGAGCCGGCCGTGAGAACCGGGCCCGTGGCACCTGCGCCGGGCGTGGGAAGGCAGCGGCAGCCTTGAGCGCGGGGGCACCCCCCGAAAACACGGGGCTGCGCGCAGCCCCCCGGCTGCCCGCCGACGGTCCTCGACCTTGAGGGCTGCGAAAAGAGCCGCTGGAGCACAACAAGGGGAGGGAGAGCAGCGGCCGAGGGAGGAAAACAGCCCGGCGAGAGGATAAGGCACCTGCCACTGCCTGGGAAAGGAGCCCCCTCCCACTAGGCAAAGCGGGGGCATCGCCCAAGCCGTGGAGATGACCCCAGATCACGGGGGTTTGCAGACCCCTTGCTACGTACCCGGGGAAAACCGCTGGTGTGCTGCCCCTCCATCATCTTTGGCTTGTCTCCCAGCCATCAGCATGTGGTGGCATGAGTGTCTATCCATCCCCAAGGCTGGTCTGTGTTCTAAGCACATCCATGGCCTGTGGGTGCTGTGCACTCATCCTCTCCAGCTTTCCCATCAAAGCGCCCCACTGCAGCACAACCCTATTTCACACCCCTACCCGTGCTGCAGCCCAGGGTGCAGATTCACCCAGCTGTCTGCCCTCCCTGGGCAGCATCCCCGTAACCCTGGGCAATTGGTTTCCCCAGGCACTCCCCAGGAAACACAAATCTGCAAATCCCAAGGATGATGAGCATCCTCAGGGCAGGAACATCAGACAAGTGGTCTGGTGGTCAGGGGAGGGAGTGAAAAAGACAGAACAGTATCAAGGCACTCCCAAGCCCATGCAGAAAGCCCCAATGTCCTCCTCACACCTTCAGGCAAATGCCAAGATCTGTGGTAGCTCCCTGGGGATCTGTCTTGTATTCCCAGCTCTGCCACCCTGCAGAGAGATGTCCAGCACTGCCTCCACCCACTGAGCCTCTACCGCTTCGAGGACCAACCAAAGAAGGGGACAAAGAGACACCCCCTGCAAGAACAATACCTCTGTGATCAAAAGAAGTGGACAGCACTTTGAGCAGGACACAGAAGGGACCCTCCTGCCTCCCTGGGTTGCCCAGCATGTACAGTCCTTTTCCTGTTTTCCATGTCCTTTTCTCAGGCTGGGCAGGGGCCATGGCAGCCTGCCCAGCTGGATGTGCAAGTCCCTAATATTTCTCTGGGCACGTTGCAACATGCATTGCTCCTGTGAGACTGGTAGGCTTGCCTTGCCCACCTGTCCTTGTGTTCAATCTAGTTCCAGCATGGCCTTTGCTTTCCCCTGATATCAGGCTCCCCCCATGGTGTAACCACACAACAAAAGTAGTAAGTCCTCACAGCAGGTGGCTGGAAAGGGCAAGAGACAGCAGAGAGACTGTGAAAAAGAGTCAAGAAGCTAGTGGGTGCAGTAGAAGTGCCCAGTGCACCTGAGCATTAGTTTGGGAAGCTGGAGCAGCAGTGACAGAGAGGACACTTGGTGTGGCCAGCCTCTTAAAATGCAGGAGATTTTTTAGAAGCATGATTTTAAGTCAAAGTATTTTAAATATATGTGTATAGATAGAAGAATATATAGGTACATGTGTGCATAGACAGTAGTCCACTCTACATAGTTATATGCACATACAGTGACTCCTTCTCTATGAAGTAATGCTTGTTTTTTCCCCTAGACTTTTGAAGAGATTTTTTTTTTGTATTTTCAGGTTTTTCTTTACATTTCCATCAGTAGGGAAGTCTCCTTTTCTCACTGACATTTAGATTCTCCCTTCTCTGCCTCCAAAAGCTAAGTGGGGTTAAGGAGAAGACTGGTATCAAAATGAGAAGCAGCAAATCTGTGCTCACTTGAACAGCAGCATGCAAAATATAAAAACTATAAAAAAGTTCTAGCAGAGTATCCTAATAAGTCTAAAGTAACATTTGTACCTTTAACTATTCCAAGTACAGTAAAAATTTTTTTTCAAATATCCAAAGGCAGTTTCACATTAAATAGTGTGATTTATTTTATATTGTTCATATAAAATTACATGTATCCTTTCTGCTATACAATTGATCAGATTCTCTTCTTGTTATTGGTGTAAGAAGTGTTAAACTATTCCTGTTCCTTTCCAGTAACTTTTATTCACTCTTTTCCTAAAGATAAGGGACATCATGCTGTTAAAAAAAAAAAAATCAGAGGGACAACCTGCCTCACATCAGTTATCAAACTTCTGCAACCTTGTTCCCATAAAGTATGTACAGCTTTATTTTCAGCTATGCTGTGTGGCCTGGCCATGCTCAAAATTAAACTGTCTGAAATCTATTGACTAAAATTTATGCCAGCAGAAAAACTGGATTTCATGAAACACCTATTTCTTCCTAGGAAATAATCCTATTCAGTGCTTAAGTTACTAAAAATAAAAATTAAGGGCATTCCAAACTATTTTAATAAAGGTATTTTTAATTTTGGTTTCCAAAACTGAAGCTTTTTCCAGGTAGCAGAAATCAATCTTTCAATTCTGAACAAACAGTCTAGATAATGTACTCCCAAGGACTACAACTCCTGCTTCAGGGTCTGGCCCACAGCAACCCAAAGCATTGGCCACACTGACTGCAACACTTCCATGACACTTGCAAAGTCCTGCCCTAGTCTGGTGCCCAGACTCCCTGACATACCACACGATCCTAGTAACGCTAGCCTGGGACAGCCTTGTGAAGTGGGTGACAGATGCTCTGCCAGAGGATAAGAAATGACTGCAGACATTGTATTTCATTTCCTGTTTTTCTACCTTGCTCTCTTAGCAGCATTGTCTTTCTATTGCTTAAATGTCCTTCCAACCTGTACCCCTGTGGCCAGCACCAACCCCAAAGCAAACAGTGGTGGTGGCAGCACCTGCCTTGGTGGGTATTTTAATGAGCAAAATGGTCTCACACCTCCTGCCTCCAAGAGCCTCAGCACAGGCAGGAAGGGCACCAACGCTGAGACCTGTGGGTGGGTAAATCCTCCCGCCTCCCAAAGGCCAAACAGCCTTGAAAAATTCAAGTTTACAAAACTAAGGCACTATTGTGGAGAACTAGGAAATATTAGCATCTGCTGTGATGTAGCTTAAAGTAACAGCATCCTTTACCACAGTATTCTTTCCATTAATTAAAAGAGGTTTGAAAGGAACAACATGCAGGTCATTTGGAGGACTAATTTTATGAATGCACTCAGGAAACAATTTCTTGTTCTCCACAGTAACAACAAGAGCTACACTGTTCTCAACACCCTAGATGAGATTGGAAACTTGATGCTTTTGTCCTCACACTTTTTGTTTCAGAACACAACAGGAGAGAACGATCTTTTTAAGAAGCAAGTGAATTACCAGGATAAGGAAATTGAGCCAGTTTTGAGCTCTTTCACTGATTTTGGGAAATAAACCCAGAAAGTACTGTTTACTATCATGAAAGGTTCCAAAAAAAATTTGCTTCTTCTCAAAAACCTCTAGGCTTGTGATTGCATCTCCCCCACACCTTGTCACCCTACTCTTCCCCAGCCTGCTGAGAGTTACCTGTGAGATCTGGAGAAGATGGAGAAAGAAATCAGAACCTCCACTTAGAGATGCCACAGCCCCCTCACATCTCCCGTCAGGGCTTCTTCACCCATCAGGATCTGCCTGCCTTGCCTCCCCAAGCCGCCACTGGGGAGCAGCAGAAGGCTGCAGGGAGGTCCTGCCTTGTTCTGCTCTCCCACTACCAGGCTCTGCGAGTTATCCCTGAGACCTAGGGAGAACAGAGAAGGAAATCAGGACCTCCACCTGCAGATGCCATAGCCCATGCTCAGCCTAACAGCACCCCTGTCGCACATCTCATCTTTCAGACTCACAGGTTGTCACCAAACTCTGCTCAAAACTTCCCTGCAGCCTTGCTGAGGAGGGCGACAAGGTGATACAGATACTGTGAGGAAGCCCAGAACAGGATGATAGGGGCCAAGTCTCCTAGGCTGGGTAGCTCTGGGGTTCTGACCCTTCCACACTGGGAGCAGGAAGGAAAAATCACTGCCAGCCCACACCAACAGGGCAGGCACATCTCCCTAGGGTTGCAGGTATACAGGTCTCTGTGAGATAGCTGTGCTAGGAGGACAGTAGGGACCTGCCACGTGGTGAGATGTTCATCTGTGTGTATATAGACATACATATAGAGGCAGGTGCACATATAGATTCACATACACCTGTATGGATGTCGAAGGATTGTTTCCAGTCCTTTGATACCCTGCCCCACTGAGGTGCCTCCTGTCAGGCAGGTCAATTAGGTCAATTTATCTTGGATAAGATGTTTAAAGCAATGTGAAGTGCTGCTGTTCCCCCTTGCTGCAAGGTATGGCCAAGAGAGTGGGAAGGTGAGCAACTCACCCAGGCACAGTTGAGTGTCCCCTACACAGGTGGCTGGATAAGGGGCAGCATTCACTGCTGCTTATAATGGCTTGGATTTAATTCATCATTATGGATGTCTTGTCAGCTATCATGGGCACTGCCTGACCCTTCACTGATGCCTCTGGCCTCATTTCTATGCCCCACCATGATTTCTGGCAGAGTGGCTTTCTTCTCCACTCTTCACAGCAGCCACACCATCACACACACTTCTTACTTACCCCTCCAGCCTGTCTTGCTCTCAGCCAAATGCCACCTCATACACCAACTCATTTCTAACCTTTGTGACCAGAATCTGGCAGGTTTGATTGGGACCAGCAAACCTGGAAGCTTCTTACCCCAGGAAAACAGCTGGCCACACCTTTCTCTTCTCCAAAACAAAGTGAAATGCTTTAGGGAAAAAAAAAATAAAGAGGCAGTGGTCTTCCTTTCTGTTCTGTTTTCCCATCCTCTATTTAATAGCTCCAAGCTCCTCCTTGCCCATACCCCATCTGTGGTTCTGCGCGCATCTCTTCAACACAAGAGTGAACACCCCTGGTACAGACACTTTCTCACTGTATTCCTTGGCTGAGCTCATCGTCTAGCTGAGTAAAAACTCAAATAATGAGAAAAGGTCCTCCTCTTTTGGAAGCAGCTATTCCAACATTGCTCCAGCATCAAAGATACCCGTTAGCATCACGTCACTGTTTTTGGCTGCTTAATAAGGCATACTAAGAAAATTAATTGTTTTAATCATCTCTTCTCTAGATGAACATAACTTCACAAGAAAACATCTGATTTATCTTTGCTTGGAAAACTAGCCTGGCTTTAACATGCCCCCAGAACACTTCCTCCCCACCCAGCTTTGACCAAATTTCTTTTCTTTTTAGAGAGGAGTTTCACTTTCTAATTTCTAACTATCTGCAGGATTTTCCTCATTCTCTATATTCTGGAGGCTGCATCTGCCCTTGGCCACTGATGCGAGGCTCAGCTGGAGCAGGTACCAGGTCACATATATCATCACTTCTCATCCAACCCACCCATGTGTGTTCCCTCCATGAACATCACGGTGCGGGTTGGATTCTAGGTCCACTCGGTCCTTGCTCCTGGAAGCACAACTGGTGTCCTGGCCCAGGATGTCCTCCTTGTCTCATGGTATTGCCCTGGAGTCACTGAGCCTGCTCTCAGTGTTTGCCTTAAAACCTCACCTACTTTGATTGCTCCAGACTTGGGGCAACAGTGCAGCCCACTGTGATGTGAAGTACATGGTGCAGGAAGGAACAGCAAACCTTATCCTCTGCCAACACTTTTCAGGGTCACTTCTTTAATGACTCCAAGTAGTACTGAGAGCTACAGTGAGACAAAGGAGGCTATAAAACAGGCCAATCTACCCTCCTCTCAAGCTATCACAGCTGATCTTACTTATTACCAGGGAGCAACAAAAGCATTATAACCCTGGGACAGCCTGTGCTCCACACGTTACCCCCCTTCTTGTTCCCCGAGGAGCTTTGAACAAAATTAAGGGGAAAAAAAAAACACAAAGAAGAAGAAATTATGCTTAAGGAGGAAGGAACTGGGAAAACGTGCAGTTCTTCCTGAAAACTCACCCAGGTTCCAGTGATCAGCATTTCTTGAGCCAGACATGGTGTCTCCATCTAATAGCCCTTGATGGCTTTTATTTCAAGGTATCCCTTTTTGAACTCTTAGAAATCTCAATATACCACAGCAGGGACTTCCTCCTCTCAGCTCAGCATTGTGGAAAGAAACCAGCTCCACTT